AAGTATTCGCCTAAAAGCAAGTAAGGTTTGATTGCTTGAGTAGCAGCAATAGTTTCAGCACTTAAAATAGGCTGTAATTAAAACAAACCAATCTAGAACAGTTTTGTACGAAGAGAAAAGGCTGTAGTGAGATGGAAACTGATATAATTGAATAAATAATTTGAAATACAGATTGACATTCATCTTAGCAAAGAAAAATAAAATCGAAGGAGTTTCAGGTCGGTAGCCCTAAACTTTATAAAGGATGATATTAAGTTGCAGATGATAATTTTTACACTAGTCTAAACGGTTTATTTATATATTACTTGAAAAAAGCTATTCTACTTGATGGTAGTAGAGCTAACGTGACTCTTCTATTTTTATTAATATTAAAATAAATTTAGCTAACTGATATAACTGAATAAATCACGCAAAATACTGATTGATATTCAATCTAGCAAAGTATCAAATTGATATAATTTCATATCAAACGTCTTAACCTTAATCTTTATCGGGAATATTTAATTGTAAATGGCTTCTTCAACGTAATTATAAACTATTTATTTACACATTGCTTAAAAAGTTTTACTCTTTTTGATACAGTGGAGAAAATATAGACTACTTCGTTTTTATTTATTTTAACTAAATTCAAGATTTTTATGGAAAGATCTTTGGCAAACTTTTATAATAGATCTGTAACCTTTATTTATGCTATCTTTTTGGACACTATTCGATTTTATCTTGTGAATGCAAGGACGCTGTGGAATGCGTATATATGTACGCCAAAGACTGATATTGATAATATAAATAAGCTATAAATAATTAATCAAGCATGGCTGCAGTTGTGATTCACATCGAGTTTTGTTCCTGAACGAATTATCAACTCTATTCGAAGGCGTGAATGTTACTTGAGTAATATTGATTTATGACTGTCACAAAACAGCTTTGCAACAAGAAAACGTAATGTACGATCAATAAGTCAATTCCTTGAACCACGTATCAAGGAACGATATCTGCACTATCGGAAACACTTTTGCTCTATTAGCAGACTACACAAAGACTTAAACGCCTCGTATTTTACGTTAAACGCTAAGTTTAAGAATCCACTTTATTACACGATATACTGCATTTATATACTCTTCCTCAATAGTTTATGAGTCATAGTTAGTAGGATTAAGTTTGGAATTATTTACTGAATTAGATATTAATTTTAGCTACTGCTCCCTTAATGCAGACAACAGTATTTACGAACATAGACATCTGGTGACTAATACAGAATAGTCAGATCACGATATGTCCTATCACGGAACATTTCCACGATAATTTGCAATCTACCATAAGTAAATTACAATCACAATGATTGGAACTGTATGTAGATGATTTGCATTCCGTATTATAACCGTTAATTTCAGTATAAGTATATGTATCACTGTCATAAAAAGTCAGTGCTATATTAAAACACAGTATATCCAAATTAGAAGTTAACTAAATAGGATAGGCTAACAGAATAATCCTAGCATAGATATTTCTACTGTAATACAGTATATAACACTGTCACAATGATAATCAACCATCATAGTGCATTGATATACGAGTATGTGATATTAAGACCGTACTACACTAGTTCTTCTTTTCATAGTTAATCTTCAATTAATCAAAAAACGGAAAAAAGAAATGACCATTCGTTTGATCACTTCACATCCTTCATTTTATTCTAAGTTATATCTATTTCTCTTGTAGCGTAATAAGAGGGCTATCTTTCCCACATCATTCATTATCCTCATTGCAAGCAATTAGACTCGTACTGAAAGCTTTTGCTTACTAAACTGGGTCAACGGAAGGAATTACGTAGAAAACTAGTTATAAGAGTCTCCTCGCAGCTTCAATGTGTACTAACACTATTTTAAGCGCATTGTACCACCTACATAACAAATTTCATCAGTGGCTCTCAATAAAGATCAATAAATCATGTACTGCTTTCCAGTCTGGAAGAAAATGTTGAAGCTACCATGCAATTTATATTTTAGATATCTTTAACATGGCTCTATCGTAGCTATTACTATTCTAACTTACTACACATAAGGTTGATCCTTTCTACTATGCAGTATTGTAATTGAAAAAGCGGTGGGTAGAATATTGGATTGCAACTTTCAGCATCCTACAAATCTAAGGAGAAGAAATCTGGAAGAGTGCATTGCTCAAGTCCGGCAATGTCAATATAAATATTTCGTTATACATTTCTGAACTTGGCGTCAGACAGTGAAATAGGTGAATCATCTTATAAGAATTTCTACTCTGCCATTTTGAGGAAGCGTACGACTTGATTCTATTTCTACTAAGTAGAATGATATTCGTAATGAAGCATCGGTTATAGAATATTCGTTTGCTTAGTGCATCTAGTTTTATGACGACAGACTTCGCTATAAAATACTGACGATCGAGTGCTTTAAAACTGCTTGATTACTTATGCATCATGATCAGAATGTAATAGTTCAATCATAAGCTTAAAGGGGAAATGTGGTATTAATATATTAATAAATTAAGAACAGTAAAAAGCAAATTTAAGAATATAAATAGAAAATTATCTTTAGCTAAATGCATTACAAGATAAGGGCAATTTTATTTTAACCTCTTAAGAACAGTATTTTGCCAGACTAAAAATTGTATTCATTAATATTATATTACATAAGGTGCTTCCTTAAACTTTTTTACTTTTCATTAAGAATATATTTGTTTAATCAATATTATTGAAATCAGTTTATATTCAGCTATCGCCTTTTTATTTACGGACGGAAACATTGCAGCAGTATTGATTATTAAATAGGCGAAAAAGAACGGCGGAATCATGGAAATCTATTTTATTGACTTACGTCAAGCTTGCGTGATAAATGTATAGAAAAATAATGATTGGATCTCAATAATCCTATGTAGTATTTTCAAATTCGTAATTTAAATTGTTGATCAACTTCATACCTGCATCTTCTACGGAACTGATACAGAAAGACAGTTCAGTATATTATTTGATGTGATATGCTGTACGGATACTGATTTAATAATTTACCGAAAAAGGACATACTGATATTGTAACATGAATTATCTCATATTGGAATAATAACCTTAAAGCATGGATAAAGAAAGCAATCAGGGTCGCTTTCCCATTATTACACATTGCAATTTTACGTCGGTATCCTTTACTTATTATAGCCTCAAGAACAATTTTTTGTCTAAGATAGGGTTAAAGCTTATTATTATCGATTTCAATCTGAGACCTTATCAGAATTAGTAAAGCCTATTGATCCAATGGTGAGATAATCTTTTATTTAAAAAAAGTGAATAGTTTGCTTTGTAACGCAAATCGAATTTAGAGATTTATAGCACAGCTATGAATGGCAATGTGTCTATGATCGTAATTAAAAAATTATCTTTTGCGTGTTCAGAGGGATTATATTGTAATATGCTTTAAATGTTTTACAATTTACTCTAGCTAGAGTACAGCCTAATAAATCTTGATTAATTCATAATTACGGGTTCAGAACTATTTATGCCTAATAGATCGGATTTTGTGGCTTTCATTCCATAAGCTTTTAAGATTGAACCCCTCTCATATGTTAACAGGTTATTAATTGATTAAGAATCGAATATATTGGGCTATTGAGGCTTCATAAGGCTTTATGGTAGTTTTCAGTTTGAAAACGAATCTCTGTCAAAAAAATTTGACACATATACAGAATGCAGTCTTAACTATGCTTCAGTAGACTACTTGCAGTTGTTTTTGGATTTATGAACAGAAAATTTTATTCTAATCTAGGTAACAGAGATAATGTTTTGGATGGAACTATGATTATCGAAATTTTACTTGAGAAAATAAGTAAAATTGATTAACCGAACATGATTATTTTCCGTCATTTCGTTCGTTTGAGTAATCGATGAAGCGATCTGATAATAGTATTTACATCCATTGATCTTAACTTTAAAATATTTTCGAAATATATTTTACCAACTGAGTAATCATGCGTGACATATGCGTAGGCCAGGTGTTAATTAATATGCTTTTTCAGGTTATATAGAAATATTTACATCGCGCTTCATTTAATTATTCAAAATCGAGTTCACGATATTCTGGAACAAGTAAAAGTTACCTCACTTGGTATCATAACGCAATTTTTTACGTTGTGGCGAAAGGAATGCTAAAACGAAGTTGTTAATATAGAATTTCTTAATGTCTGCTCATAATATTATCCAATTTGCAATCAATGAAACGACTTTAACTCTACTCAATTTCACAAATTTTAAATCAACCTCGGGCTGCATTAATGCCAAAATGCATTACCAGAATTAACTTGTAGTTCTTATCATGTTCTCATTCATTATCACCTGCTAATGAAATACCTGAATAAATCGATAAGAAAAGTTAGGTTTTCGAAATCTTTGATTTAATAGTATCCTTATTTGAACTTTATTAAACGTTAGAGTGATGTATACTTTGCAAAGAAATGTGAATTTCGATATCTCATTTAAACAAAGTATTTTACTGGGCTATTTCTGATACCAAAGGAAGTTTCTGTCTTCAAAAACATCAATTATTCACCGATTTCATGATCAACGTCTGCAGCTGCTTCATTAAATGTTAATCTGATATCGTCAATTGGAATAAATAGTTAATTATAGCAAATTCAACTTTTGTAAGTTAGACCTTAATTTATCAAATTGTATCATATTTATATAATTTTATGTTTTATTCAAACTTTTATTTTAAATTTTCAATGTTGTTCTTATATTTATTATTCGTAAATTATAAGATTGCTCAGATTGATCGAATAACTTCTTTCAGGATTAAAAGCCACAGCAACATTGTACCAAGATCCGGTGATATACTTAGTAAATTCCTAAATTCTTACGCGAATCATTATAAGTAGGCTAGGCCAATTTTATCGCTGATATCAAGCTTTTAAATTTTACTGCTGCCTTCATTGCTCTTAATTTCGCACTTTGAAAATATAATCTTAACTGGTTATTTTACCATGATTAAATCATCGCTCCTCCTCGTCATAACGATAATCAGCTGTGACATTTTTCTATGCTCAAGTGGTAAGGTTGCCTATCTTAAGGATTATCAAGTTCCTAAGTTTACTTCTTATTCTAAAGCACTGTTCAATTCTTCCAATCAGCATAGCAACGTTTATCAGTTTGAATTGCAAGTCGAAGCTTATAATCGAGTATTTAAGTTAGTCTTACATAGTCAGTCACTACTATTTCATTCTGATTTAGTATTAGAATTTGATCCTAGCACCATAGCTTCCTTTGATCGATCACATTTTGTATATGGCTCAATCCAATCACATCCTGAAACGGAAGCATTTGGATACATCTATAATTCTGGTCAGTTTCAAGGCGTCTTCACTCTTGATCGTGTTAAATACTACGTCGAATACGCAAAATTCTTTCCTTCATTAGCAAGCAACGGTAATCAGTTCATCATCTATCGCAACATCGATATTAGTTCACGCTTTCGAGCTTCTAGGGATGTTCAATCTTCCGACAGATGGTTACATGATCCGTTATTTTCATCTTTTGCATCTTACAATCATCATTTAAATACGAGGCAAGCTAGACAGCAGAATCATAATTTTAACAATATCAATAATACCTGTTTGGCACGTATTGATATTGATCGGCATGTTCTTCAACGCTATGGCGATCCATTTCATGCTCTTATTGGTATTTCGGTATTACTGCAAGGCGTTAATCAAATCTTCAGGAAGACTGACTTTAATGGCGATGGACAAGCCGACAGCATTGGCATTGCTATCCAATCTATTTCAGCAAAAACGAATTTTAGTCGGTTGGATCCGATAGCGAATCCAACATATTACTTCAATAATTGGACGGCCTATTATAACTACAGTCAATACTGTATGGGATTTCTATTCATAGATCATCATTTCAAGCAGCAAGTGACAGGAATTGCAAATAGTGGCTACAAAATTGACGAAGGAATCTGTACTAAATATCATTATGAAGACAATGGAGTTCTGTCCAGTTCTAACGTAGGTTTATTATCAGTGTCTCGACTAAGTAAAACTTTAATCTATCCTTTACGTGAAATGATTGCAGCCCACGAAATTGGCCATATATTTGGTTCTAAACACGATAACTTTACCAAGTTATGTTCACCGACTGGCGAAAAAGGGTTTTATCTTATGCATGCAGCAGTTTCTAGTGGGGAAAAAATGAATAATTATTTATTTTCTCCGTGTAGTCGACAAGCAATTTATCATTCCATCGTCACAAAAGGTTGGAATAAGCAGCGTGGGTGCTTAATTAATCAGCATTATCCAATATGCGGTAACGGAATTATAGATGAAGGAGAAGAATGCGATTGCGGATATCAAAGCAATTGTAATGATTCTTGCTGCACTCCAGCTTTTCATAGTTTTATGGATATGTCTGGCAACGCACCTTGTCGGAGAATCCCTAATTGCAATCAATCCAATCAATTTGCTATAATATATGTTGTTGCGGGTTTAATTGGCACATTAATCATTAGTGTATTTTTTACTGTTGTCTGGAAGCAGTGCATTCGAAAATCAAAAACAACTAATAATCAGCAGTTAATGGATTTAATTTCCTAACTATGACAAAATAGCTAGTTAAAGATAAAGTTAATAAATCTCGGTGGAATTCTTGAAAATTATTTAATTTTTATCAATGTCTGTTTAAGCTAACAGTATTTAGCTAGATTTATTGACCAATATAGAAGAATTCTACTCAAAAATTAATACTGTTTATTAACTGGACAGTATTATCTTCCGATGCTTAGTTACAGGTCAGACAAATCTTTTTCTAAATAATTCATATGAATTGAATAAATTTATTATGCATTCGTTGCCTGCTAGCTTGAAATTTTAAAAAAATTCAATAGCATTACCAGCGGCTTCAATATTTGATGCATTTAAAAGTTGACAATTAAAATTTCGGACTTTGTGACAAATATTACCTATTACATAGTGCCTTAATTTTTAATTTATAATAAGTTGGTGGATAGTATACAAAATTACCAATGTGAGTTACTTATTTTGATAGTTAAACTTTACTTTGATGATTCTATGGTATAAACAGCTGCCTTTAAAGTTATATTTCTTTTGATTCAATTTGTTTATGTTTGAAATAAAACAGATCGATCCAGTCTTATATATTTAATGTATGCTAAAGTTTAGTTTTTGACTTCGATGTTAAAGTGCTGTTGCTTTTCTCTCTATCACTGAGCTACATACGATTAGAAAAGAAACAGTTATGTTGCATTTTATATTATAATAGCGATAAGTTATTTGGTCTTCTTTCTAGAGATCATTATTGATTGCAGCTTTTATTTTAGTGTTATATTAAATTGGAAAGCACCTTAGCAGCTAAGTAAATGATAAATTATACTTACGTAGCACGTAGATATTTTAATGGAGATGTTTTGCAAATACTAAGGGTAGCTTATTTACAAAATGTAACTAATTGATCAAATTGCTAGCGCAGCTAATATGAAGCTTTTATTAATAAATAAAAACCGAATAAATACGGAAAGGTCAAGGCACAGAATCTGTCATAGTGAAGCCCGCTTCAAATCTGGAATTTCACCGTATGGCGTACTTATTTTAAGTTGCATTTCGCCACTAAATTTCGCGGATATAAATGTAGTGCATATTTTTAATCAATGGAGAAGCTAATTTATTATTAACAACATAAAGTGGAAGCTAAGATTGCTTAATATTTCGTAATGATTTAATCATTCACAGTTAAATACATTAAATCAAATAGCTACCTGCTAGTTTCTTTTTTGAAGTAGTTGGTTCTTTTAATTTCAAGATATCTTTCGCTCAACGTCTATTTAGATATAAAGTATTTCGCATATTAAGGCATCTCGAAAATCACAAAAAGAAATACAGGATAAATTATTCATAAAAATCTAGACCGGTACGAATTCAAGTGCATACTATATGAAATAATTTCATAGTCTGGAGAATAAGAAAATATGACTACTTTTAGAACTTAACGTTGGTTATATATTAGGCACACTAATAATCACACAAGTAAACGCTATATTAATTATTATTAGTATAATCCGTAACTGATATCAATTTAAATCTATTCAGTAAATAATTTGGTAGAGAGTCAATGATAAAACAACTTAAATTTTAGATTCTAAAAGTTTGATCTATCAAAATCGTTGTATTGAAAAGACCTGCTCATTATTTCAGCGAGCATTTATAATAGTATTTATCAACTGTTTTCTCGTAGGGTAGGTTAGCAGAGAATCTTTAAGGCACCTTAAGCTGAAATAAGTATCAATTTAGACCGAGGCCAATGAAATCATAAAGTTTTAAATATTATGTATGAGCCATCAAACAATTGGTCAAAAACTCGAATATAGCCAATGTTCTACATTTTTCGTAGATGAAATAATAATATAATCAATCTTAGACGAAGCTTAACTTATGTATTTGGTCATGGATATTTTAGGTGTACCTAAATTGAATTTTTACCTCGATGAACTATCATATTGAATAGTCGACAACTGACATAATACTGTTCGTCAACTAACAAGGTTAGCCTTCATAATAATACTCTCCTACTCGAATTATGGTATACAAATTTATCTGCAATCAGTAAAATTTATTATACTACAAATTATTAGCATCATTGTCTAAGACTTTATTTATAAAATCAGTAAACTTGAAAATTTTTACTGTTATTCACGAACAAATTTTTGTATGATAATTGTTGCTAAGGGATACAGCAATTGATACAAGTTATAGGCATACTTTAGAAATAATTACACTATTCTAATTTAAGCTTATAAAAGTGTCACGGTACGAAATAACGTGAAGAAATAGCTATCTAAATTTGGTTAATATAATATAGTGATAATATATTACAATTAGTTACTTACAATAGGAATTACTCTAACTATAAATGTGTTACAGTAGATTTAATGCTGTGCTGTAATGTGCACTGAAATGATTCTGTGAATGGACATACCGAAGTCCGACTGTGAAAAATTAGTTAGTAGATGTTCTCACCTAAGTATTTTTATAAGATGACTCGTGAATGTTAGCTGCTGTAGAAGGGTATGTAAGCTCGTCAGATAGTTGAATAAAGTAGTTCTCAATTGTCTAGTTGAGTTTAACGTAGAATCAAAGGCGTCTAAATTCTTGTGAGGTAGTTAAATGATACTGAATCCAGGAGACTATAGTAATTTCGAGATTTATTTTACGTTATCCATGTCACGAAGCTGGTTTGTGACAAAAATTCTTTCTATTTAGATAATTGTGACCTAAAAACTTGAATCTATTCACCATAGTAGTCTAGACTCCTGAATAAGGTATAAAGATTGTATCTTGATTCCATATTTGGCGATAAATTTTAGCAATTGATCATCAAAATATCAATGAATTATAACGGGTAACATTACGCGTATTTTTTCTCAATAATAAATGTTAATCGACTTAGAATCTATCGATTACTACAGTACGTAATTACATCAGCTTAGTTGTTAAGGATTACAATTCATTTTATCAAGTAAGCAGCCCATTGTTTAAGATAATTTAAATAGAAAGGGTCCTATTCATATGGCTAGAATTAATAATTGCCTTAACAATGATTGTAAGCCCTACTCCTATTCATCTACTTTACTTATCACGCAGATGATTTCGACTCGATTAAATTTAGCTAGGGATACCAAAATCAAGGTTTCAAAATTTATGCTCAGCGAGAAAGAAACATAAAGTTTAGGTTTATTTGGAGCTACTGACTTAAACGCTCTTTTACTCTACGTTAAATACACAACAATGTACCGTAAAGACAGAAATTTTATAAACGTAGACACATCTATAGCTTTTCATAATAACTCAACTCAAATATTCCCATTTAAATAGAAACCGCGTATTTTGTAAATAAAAACAGTATTAGTACTAGACAATTTCTGCAGGTTTAGTAATTAGCTGTAGAGAATTATAGAGGATATAGAATTTAAATCTCGATTGTGAACAATATTAGTCCATTAAAGGAATTTGTTAGAAAGAGTAAAATTGTTAAAGACTAGTAATAAGTATGCACCTAAAGTGACGATTACATCAATGCCCTATGATTGATATAAATCATTAATACAGGAAGATTCAATATCTTGTATGTCAGAATTAAATTAAGGATTATTTAAGTAAATAACTGTAAATTAGGCTATTAAAGAATCTATAAAAGTTATCGTTTTGTGTTACGATTCAGGATTGCTAGTAGCAGAATTATAGGTAGATGCGTTGTTAGATTTTTGACTATGTTAAAGATTGTTTCTAACCCTATTAAGTAATAAACTAACTTTCATTTAATATTCCTAAATTTTGATGTTGTTTAATAAGTCTATTTGAGTAGTTTATAGGATGAATTAGTCTTTATTTCACATCATAAGACAAGGCTTTCATCATCCATCAGAATTAATTTGATTAACTAATGAATATTTTACCAAATTCAAGAAGCTTTATAATTAGAAAAAACTAAGATATGGTCTCTAAGTGTTAACCAGCTCTTAAATATTTAATACGAGTAGTGAATGCGAACTAGAAATATAATGAATTTGATTTCCTTCGATTTTTTTTCCAATTTCACCTGACGAGTCTATACCTAAAAGAATTTAGTATAATTACATGTTTAGAAAGAAAACTGTAATGATATTACGTTACCAAAGTTCAATAAGCTAATGCAGATTTTAATTTGTTAAGTACCGTAATTTCTTTACGACGGCCAAGTTTAAGTTTTTTAATTAAAATTCTTTTAAATGTCATAATAAGTAATTTATCGTACAAATTTAAGAAGATCGATTCTCTAACTTTTTTGATATCATATTCTTGAAACAGATATAAATGTTTAAGGATATCGCGTGAATAAAGGCCTACGTCTCTATATTGATTGGATAAGCTTTTGCGGAAGCTAAAACATGATGAAATGAAATTTCAGCGTAAATGCATCGTGCTCTATTCCATATACCGCAGAATTACCCTCAAGTAAAAGCTTTATTCGTTATTAGTGTCTGCGACAAAACAGCTTTGCTACAAGGTAAAGTAATGCACGATCAATAGGTCAATCCCCTGAACCGCGTATCAGGGAGCAATATCTACTCTATCATGAACTTTTTTACTATAATTATTATATAATATTAGACTACACAAAGACTTCGACCCCTCATATTATACGTTAAACACTAATTGTTAAGAACTAACTTTACTGTGCGATATACCGCATTTATATACTCTTTTACAATAGTTTAGATATCCTAGTTAGTGATATAAACATTGAAACCTACCTATGAATCAATAGCTAATTTTACCTAGTGCTGCCTAATGAAACACCGCCTAATGACAACGGTATTTACGAACACAGACGTCTAATGACTAAAAATACAAAATAGTCAGATTCTGATATGTCCTATCACGGAACATTTCCATACCACTGTAACAGCGTCGGAAGACTAACTTCTGAAAATTTAATCTCTGCAAAATCTATCATCTAGCAACTCAATATTTGTAACCTTACGCAAATGGGTCATTTAATATAATTTCTGCTTTACAATGATTATGGCAATATGTCAAAAGCA